ATATATGGTTGGGTTCACATGAGAATGATTCTCAAGGAAAGAAATAAGAATAAATCATTCTCATTCTCAAGGAAAGAAATAAGAATAAATCATAACCATTAGATTGAATGAGCTAATGGTAAAAAAATAATCAACATTGTTACATTAATAAAGGGTATTATAGATATTTGTCACACATCAACCAACCATTCACTACATTAATGGGCTCCACTTCCCAATTAAATCATCCAATTTGCCAGGTCATCACTCTCTCCTCTTTCACGCTCTCTCCTCTCTCACGCAGACTCACACACCAACGTTAGAACACACATTACATACACTGAATCTGTCAAGGCCCGACAGACATCGGCCACTTCACAGAGCACCGCCGCAGTCCGGCGCCATTCGCCGTCAGTCGATAGTCGAGAACGCCAACACCCGTCGTCTGCTTTATTGTTCACCCGTCGACCAGAAATCCGACGACGCGAGGTCGTCTTCTCCGGCATCTCAAAATCCGACGACGAGGTCGTCTTCTCCGGCGACGCAAACCAGACAAGCTTTCAGACACACGTCCTCTCCGCCTCCATCTTCGCCATCCCCATTCAAGACAACGCCGAGCAACCGCCACCGTCGGAGCCGCCATCACGGTCGGATTCTGTCTGCCTTCACAAGAGTGCCGTGCAACCGTTCAAGTCTTCGTCTCCGGCGTCATCCTCCAGCGTCAAGATCGACATAAACACCCTCCGTTCAGATTCAGCGGCACAAAAAAAAAATGGACCTTCAAGCTCGAAGGTCGACCTTCAGTGGCGGTTTGTGGAAAAAAAAAAAAAAAAAAAACATCGCCGGACAGCGGCCGCTGGAGACGGCAACGCCGATAGTCGTTGGGCGGAGAAGCTGACGGCGTAGGGTGCTGGGCACGGAGGATGAACAGAATCAAGATTTTTGTGCTTGAGCCTTTCTTTTGGAAATTAGATAATAGACAGATACCTAATTGTAATTTTATAAATTTCATTTACTTTCAATTAAGTTAATGTGGCAAATCTATAATTTATATAAAACAACATGTTTTAAATAATCGATCGAACTATATATTATCGCACTTTATATAGTGGAATATTGCACTTTACAAAACAATACGTCGCACTTTATCATCACACTCTATAACTAATGTCAACTCTCAACAAAATATTACACAATATAAATATAAGAAACGGATCGACCTAATACTTTATTATCCACCACATCATATATCCACAAAAAAAAAAACACAATCATGTTAACATACTAGAATTTCAGTATTGCACTTTATAAATAAATACATTGCACTTTATACAGCAGTACACTGCACTTTATAACACAACGTGTTGCACGTACCAAAATTACAATAATTCCAATAACCGATCGAATAATATTAGTTGGTTAATGACGGAGTTATTTTTTTTTAACTAAACAAAATATCCGAACATGTCGAATAATATTATTGTTATATGTTTTTTATACATAAACATAGTATAAAAATATTAAAATTGTATTGTACATGTTGCACAGTAACGACTAACGGGATGCACTTTTGTGCCTATCATATTGCACTTTAGTGTAACAAATGTATCGAACGAATGAGCTTATTTTTCTTATATAACTCATATACACAGGTTCGGTTATCCTTTTTTTTATTTATAAATTTGAATTATTTCGTTCCAACATCGACTTTATGTTTTTATAATAATCAACCAACAAAAACTATATAAAAATATTATTTTGTATATTTAGTTTAATTCGGTAAACCGATTGATTAAATTATTTATTTCGGTTATTTTTAGCTTGATTTGGGACAAGCCGTTAAAAAATGCATACAGTGTAACTGCACAACAGTGTTATACGAATTGCACATTAACGAATACTATATTGCACAGTAATGTTAGCCAAATTGCACGTAATGACCAAAAACAATTGGACTAAAATTTCCGTGGCGATATCATATATTTCGACTCGATTATCTACTTTTATTTGTAAAGTGTAGGTTATCTCTGTTCAATATCGACTTTATTTTTTTAAAATGACCAAAATAATAAAAAACGATTGAACTATATAAAAATTATTTTTTTATATTTTATATATAAGAATATTATTTATTTTCAACAAGAAAAATATAAAATATAAATATTAAGAAACACTAAATATGTTTTTTTATAATATAAATACTATATTATTTATGGTATTTTAGTGAATTTATCGAATACACGATTATCTCGATTTGATTTATAATGTGATTATATGTTTGGCAATCGCACCATATTGTAAGATGAAATGCACATTAATGACTATTGGATGGCACTGGATCAATTGAACTATTTTTTTCGGTTCAAATTTTTACATTTCAATTTATTATTTGTTTTTTACTTTTATCATAAATGTTATTTCAATTCAAGGTCGACATTTTTTTTTTAAATAACTGAAAAAGAAAACAAACCAATTGAACTACATGAAAAAATTTAGTTTTTATTTTTTTAATTTATTTATAGGTATTACAATTGCACGATATTGTTATATGAATTGCACATCAATGAATATTAGACTGCACTAACAACCAAAATCGAACCAACTGAAATTTTCAGATCGAAATTTTATATTTCGGTTCAATGAATTTTTATTTATTTTAGAAGTGAATCGCTATTTACCG